AGAGAACTCAAAATTTGTGCGCGGTTTGGATCACATAAACAAAGTGTTTACGTCATGGTCGTGTGAACAAACGATTTTCTCTTCCCCTGGCCAGGGGAGTTTGATAGAACTGTTAAATTCTGACTCGACTTGTGCAAGATTAATGTTCCTGTTAGCCATACGAAAGATATTATCTACATAACGGTGATATTTTTCAAAAGAACTAATAGCCTTAGATGAGGAAGTTTTCTCTAACTTGGCCATGAAGATGTCGGCCAGAACAGGTCCGAGGGGTAAACCGATAGCAACACCATCGACTTGGCGGTAGAAAGCGTTATTAAACGAAAATTGTACATTTCGTGTGCATTTAAGTATGAGTTCTTTAAGAGGTGTGACGGGAATCCCCACGGATATCGTTTCTGTGTTTATAAATTCACAAATGAAACCAACCGTTTCTAACATACTAAGAGAATATCAGTCGGTTGTTAATATTCACATTTTTGGTTATTCCAACAAACTGAGAAGTATCTCTAAGTGTACGCTTGGCGACACGTTGATGTATGAGTTCTCTTGGACTTATTGCCAAACACATGACTCATCCACCTTTCTGTTTGACCGTAATGAAATTATTTCATATAAATGTGATTGTAAAGGCTTGAAAAGGAATTCACCGAAAGCATATGTACGCCCACACTGTGTTCTTAATCAGTGGGCACATTCCGTGATTTGAAAATTACTTTGAAGTTTAGGATTCGATCCGTATGTGTTGCCTTGCGGTAGACCGCTGTCTCCAGTTTTCCTAATAGTGTTCTGATAATCAGGATATCCAAAAATCATAATTGTTTGTCCTTCTCGGTTTCCATTGTGAACTTGATGCCATTGAATATATTATTGATAATGTTGTCTGTTCGGTCAAGTTCCGACTTCTTCAAGATGACGAATGTGTCATCAACGTATCGGAACCAAAGTTTTGGAACGATTCTTGGTAGTACCTCCTTCTCCAGCTTCTGCATTATGGCTTCGGCTACGAATCTGGAAATTGGTGATCCCATTGGTGCTTCTTTCAGCGATTCGTGGATTTCATCCTCGAATTTGAAGTACGTCTGCATGCATAGTTCCATGAGTTGACAAATGACAGCTGATTCCGTTGGTGGGTTTAGTGGGTGCTCAGTTATAAAGTCCCTCGCCCCCTTGAACCAGTTCAACGGTGAACCGAGTCGAACTTAGTGAGAATAAGGGATAGAATAGTCGGTGGAGAAGAACACATAAACGAACGTGTGCAAGCAGAACACTGCCACTTCGCAAGCACCTAAGATGTCACTTCGGCTGTTGATGAAACGTTTGCAAACAAAGTGCCATGCTCGGGGAACAGGCGAAATAGAATTCAGTTCACCCGAGCTACGAGAACCAATTTTAAATATTTTGTCAACTACTGAAATTTGCCAAAGCTTTCACCGTTTACACTCATAAACCCAATCTATGTTCAGCTCCGTTCAGCTTGTACAACCAATAAGCATGCAATTTCGTGCTCTTGTTCTGGTTGCTGTGTTTTGGCTGCCCATTTTTGTGAACAATAGGAGGAAAACAGAAAGTTTGAAAGAAGGATCGAAGAGCAAATTGAAAAGTTCAGTGGACTAATGATGCAGAGAAATTGAGAAGATACACGAACGCCACTGTTTACGTCACCCAGCCATATCACTCAATGTGTCTAACCATCGGTTACGATCATCCCGAGGTTCCCAGTCAGGGAGCCTAACGGGACTTATGTGACCCAGACCCCTGGTTAGGGTTTTTATAGACTCATGCCAGGTCCTAGCTTGACTACCCTTGAATTTATTCCACCTACTACCTACCTCGGCAAAGATTGCCCGCCGTGGCAACCTATTTGGTGACAGGCGTAACACATGCCCCAACCAACGTAATCTATGAATGTCGACCACTTGCTCCAGAGGGCGACTGCGGTTACCCAAAATTCTGCGCCTAACCTCAGCATTGCTCGTCCCGATTCGTGCAACGCTGTGTAAACAAGGATGTTCAAACACCGACAGTTTACCTTTGTCCTGTTTCCTTAATGGCCAAGTTTCTGCTCCATATAGTAGAACTGGCCGTCCTGCCGCAGCATACATTCGACCCTTCACAGACAACCGGATGTCGTGACGGCGCCACAGATGTCTCAAGTTGGTAAGTGCCAACCGAGCCTTCTAAATGTGAACTGACACTTCATCCGTGATGCGTTCACCGGGTGAGATGTAGCTGCCCAGATAACAAAACTTATCTACTTGCTCTATTTCTTCCCTCGTTAGAGTGAGTCTGAGTGCTGAACCAACCCAGTCTTGTAGTACCATTTTACACTTTAAAGGTGCAAAACGCATACCAAACATGGCTACGCTGGCGCTCAAGCTGTACAGAAAAGCTTGCAACTTACCTGCATCTTCGCTTAACAGCACAATTTCGTCTGCATACTCTAGATCAGATAGTCTGCCACCCGGCAGTAAATCGATGTCGCTATTCTCGCACACGGATAGGGCTGTTTCCATAATAAAATCTCTAAGGAAATTGAGCAGAAAAGGAGTGAGAGGGCAACCCTGACGAACTCCACTTCCCGTGGTAAATGCGGGCGAAAAAGTGCCGTAATCTCGGATTCAACTTCAGCTATTAGCATAAAGCGATTGTAATATTGAAGTAGACTTCTCGGACACACCATTCAGGGAAAGCCAGAGCCAGAGTTTAGAGCGGTCGACTGAGTCCGAAGCCGCTTTCAGATTCAGGAAGACAGAGATGGTGGGTCTACTACAAGAATGTCGTTTCCCAGAATTTGGCGAACTGTGAAAATATGGTTGATGCAACCTCAACTGGGTCTAAATCCAGCCTGGTTCTCACGCGTGCATCGTTCACGTGCGGCAGACAATCGACGGAATATGATGCTGGTGAGAAGTTTAGAGAGGATGTTGATTAAACTAATTCCTCTGTCGTTTTCACACAAGAACCTGTCGCTTTTCTTGTTAATCGGTATTACCACCAATTCACACCATTCAGCCAGAACCTCTTCCCTTTCCGATATTAAACCCAGGAGTTTCGTCAACTCCAAGGCTAAGGCCGAGCATCCATCCTTAAACGCCGACGGGAAAAGCCCATCTGGGCCAGTCGCCTTGTCCCTTTTGAGATAACTTATTTCCCGAGAAACCTCCATTTTCGATGGAGGACTAGCATCAACTAACAGTACTTGCTCAGTCAAGGTGGAGGGTGAAAGATCAGATGTCGATGGGGGCCAGTTTAACTGAGCCTTGGAGTGTTCAGCCCATCGATCAAAACGGCGTTGCTGATGTAGATCAGTGTGTCATCGGATTCTTTAATTGTCTCACTTACACCTATTTTCCTGGGGCCTGTATTCCTAATAAGATGGAAAAGATTTCTACTATTGCTGATAGCCGCAGCCTTCTCCATCTCCCTATATTTCTCTACCCACCACTTCTCGCGATCAATCCTCAGACTCTTGATGAGCTCGCGTTTAAGCGATTTGCGCGCTGCCATATGTGACATCCGGAGGCAGGGTTCTGCGGACGTCGAACAGGTCAGCCGAGGTCGACGAGATCCATCGTTTGTGTTTTGAACCTGCGCCAGGGTCCGACGTCGTTTTTAATGATATTTGCATAGCTTCCTTGGTTTGCTTCCAGTGTTCATTGGGTCCTTCGACTGGAGGTTGAACTGATAGGCGATCAGAGAGCTCCGCTTGGAAGGCCAGTTTGCACTCATCGCGGACGCTGTATCGTGGGTATCCGTTGTCTGTGGCTTTTCTGCAGTTGTTTGTCAGGCGTAGGGAGAATTTGGCTCGTAACAAGGTGTGATCTGTATCCACAGCTGTTGACCAGTAAGAGCGGCAGTCTTGAATTGATCCCCTGATGGCGATGTGGTCGATCTGGGTCCAGAGTTGTGAAGAGGTTGGCGTTTTCCATGTAATGTGGTGACGTTTCTTGTGTGAGAAGTTCGTGTTTGACAAGAATAATCCGTGGTCCGAGCAGAGTGGAAGTAGGCGATCTCCGTTGTTGTTCCGGTTGGCTTGCGGTCCACCAAGAAGCCTTTCTGATTCGTCCAGGGATCCCACTTGAGCATTGAGGCCTCCGGCGACTGCGACAACGTCCGTTGATCGAACACTTTGAAATAATTTAGAAAGATCCTTGTAGAATTCATCCTTGATTTCAGGTGTACTGCAATCGGTCAGTGCATACATCGATACGACGAACAAACATTGACGCTTCATTCTGTAGCTGTTGACTTGAGCTGAACCGTTGAGACGTACAGCGCACAGTCGGCTACTGACTGGAATCCAGTCGAGAAGAGAGCGGTTCGCCTTGGCACTTGGCGCAATCCCAACACCAGCAACACCGTGAGTTTCGGATGCCGAATCGCCTGCCACANAAGGGTGAAGCGTGAGGATGAGGTTGGATCAGGGGAACGCAGGGAGATAATGGAAGTAGGGTCCTGTATGCGTGTTTCGGAGACAAAACATACATCTAAATTGAAATTTTCAAGGGTTCTAGCCAGGGCAGCTTGTTGACCGATCTGATAGAGTGTGCGGACACTGAACGCGGAAAAGGGAATTTCGGTTTCAAAAATCCTGTAACTTCTGATTGTTTGGACTTGTTGATAAAACGCTGAGTGATATCCGATGGATCTTGTAAACAACACGTTTTGGGTATTATTTGGGATTGAGGGGAAGAACTAGATAGATCGAGAAGAGGTTTTCCAAATGGGTGCATGACATTATTCGTGGTAGCCCACACCAACGAAGGGTTTTTCTTTGGGAACCCTAACCGGAGCCTTTGACTTAAAAATCTGACCCACAAGACAGTGGGACATAAATCCAACGTGGGAGCGTGAACGAAGCACCCGTGTGGGAGCTTCTGGAGACCTATCATGCAGGGCCTTTGAATTTCGGTTAAGTTCGTTGTTCGCTGGTGCGTTGATTGTCGGTCCACTTTTCAGGATCGGCACTTAGTCTCATGCACCCAATGAGACAAGCGAAACGTGGATCGGACAGCAGCTTATTGGCTGGGGGCTGCCCAGCTTGGGCGGGCGGTAACTGTCCAATAAATTGCGAAGACTTCTCCCGCCGTCGAGAAGAAGCCCCAGGTACACCGCTCCTACATCCATCTAGCAGGGTTTTCTGACCGGTAAACTGCCCATCACCGTGTTTATTTGCTGGAGTGGCCTCTCCAGGGGCGGGTGTGGATAGACGACGGAAG